TTAAGCAGTAGCCTGGCTTCAAACCCTCCGCAGCACCTTTGGGGGCTTGTCCACTAGTTTTCTATAGTGGCTTCAGAAAGCGACGTTAGGCAGTAGCCTGCCTTCAAACCCTCCGCAGCGCCTTTGGGGCTTTGTCCACTAGTTTTCTAGTGGCTTCAGAAAGCGACGTTAGGCAGTAGCCTGCCTTCAAACGCTCCGCAGCGCCCTTGCTGGCGCTTTTGGCAACTTTCCGGACGTCTGTGGCCATCTGTCAGAGGCTTGTCCAGTAGTTTTCTAGTGGCTTCAGAAAGCGACGTTAGGCAGTAGCCTGGCTTCAAACCCTCCGCAGCGCCTTTGTGGGGGCTGGTCCAAATGTTTTCTAGTGGCTTCAGAAAGCGATGTTAGGCAGTAGCCTGCCTTCAAACGCTCCGCAGCGCCCTTGCCGGCGCTTTTGGCAACTTTCCGGACGTCTGTGGCCATCTGTCGGGGGCTTGTCCAGTAGTTTTCTAGTGGCTTCAGAAAGCGACGTTAGGCAGTAGCCTGGCTTCAAACCCTCCGCAGCGCCTTTGGGGGCTTGTCCACTAGTTTTCTAGTGGCTTCAGAAAGCGACGTTCGGCAGTAGCCTGCCTTGAAACCCTCCGCAGCGCCTTTGGGGGCTTGTCCAAATGTTTTCTAGTGGCTTCAGAATGGCGATGTGTCGGGGGCTTGTCCAGTAGTTTTCTAGTGGCTTCAGAAAGCGACGTTAGGCAGTAGCCTGGCTTCAAACCCTCCGCAGCGCCTTTGGGGGCTTGTCCAAATGTTTTCTAGTGGCTTCAGAATGGCGATCTGTCGGAGGCTTGTCCTGTAGTTTTCTAGTGGCTTCAGAAAGCGACGTTAAGCAGTAGCCTGGCTTCAAACCCTCCGCAGCGCCTTTGGGGGCTTGGCCACTAGTTTTCTATAGTGGCTTCAGAAAGCGATGTTAGGCAGTAGCCTGGCTTCAAACCCTCCGCAGCGCCTTTGGGGTGGCCTGGCTTCAAACCCTCGGCAGCGCCTTTGGGGGCTTGTCCACTAGTTTTCTAGTGGCTTCAGAAAGCTACGTTAGGCAGTAGCCTGGCTTCAAACCCTCCGCAGCGCCCTTGCCGGCGCTTTTGGCAACTTTCCGGACGTCTGTGGCCATCTGTCGGGGGCTTGTCCAATACTTTTCTAGTGGCTTCAGAAAGCGACGTTAGGCAGTAGCCTGGCTTCAAACCCTCCGCAGCGCCTTTGGGGGCTTGTCCACTAGTTTTCTAGTGGCTTCAGAAAGCGACGTTAGGCAGTAGCCTGGCTTCAAACCCTCCGCAGCGCCCTTGGGGGGCTTTGTCCACTAGTTTTCTAGTGGCTTCAGAAAGCGACGTTAGGCAGTAGCCTGCCTTCAAACCCTCCGCAGCCCCCAAACTAGTTTTCTAGTGGCTTCAGAAAGCGACGTTAGGCAGTAGCCTGGCTTCAAACCCTCCGCAGCGCCTTTGGGGGCTTGTCCACTAGTTTTCTAGTGGCTTCAGAAAGCGACGTTAGGCAGTAGCCTGGCTTCAAACCCTCCGCAGCGCCTTTGGGGGCTTGTCCACTAGTTTTCTAGTGGCTTCAGAAAGCGACGTTCGGCAGTAGCCTGCCTTGAAACCCTCCGCAGCGCCCTTGCCGGCGCTTTTGGCAGCTTTCCGGACGACTTTGGCCATCTGTCAGAAACTTGTCCAGTATTTTTCTGGTGGCTTCAGAAAGCGACGTTAGGCAGTAGCCTACCTTCAAACGCTCCGCGGCGCCCTTGCCGGCGCTTTTGGCAGCTTTCCGGACGACTTTGGCCATCTAGTTTTCTAGTGGCTTCAGAAAGCGACGTTAGGCTACTGCCTGCCTTCAAACGCTCCGCAGCGCCCTTGCCGGCCGTCTTGGCAGCTTTCTGGACGACTTTGGTTATCTGTCGGGGGCTTGTCCGGTTTTCTGGGGCTTTCCTTCTGCGCGTAGGCCCTCGCTGCATCTCGCTGCTCAGCCTCATCCTGGTGTTTTTTTTCCGGGGTCGGCGGCAGGGGCGGGAGCCCTTAATTTGGTAGACTGACCTGGAAGAACCAAAATCCATTCTCAATACAGCTTGTGGTTTTGGAAAATGGCTGCTTTCACTTCCAGCTCACCGGGAGTAGAAAATGGCTCTCGGCCACACTTCCAGTGACTAGTCACCGGGAGTACCGGGAGAAGTCTCGCACTGTCACACTGAGTCACACTGTCAGACACAACTTTGGAGCCTGGTTCACATTTGCCCTGGCGCGTACTGTTCCACGCTCTTGAAGCCATTTTCCAGCATCGACTGTACCATGGATTTCACCTGTTCCTCAACTGACTTGAAGCTGATGCCCAACCTCAGGACGGCTAGGACGGCTGAACACTGGAGGCCTCCTCCGAAAAAACAACTGTCTTTCATGACTGGGCAACAAGAAAAAAATGGAAAAAGCAACCCGTCCAACGTCATCCAACTGTCCCCATCCTGTCCCAAATATGGGGGGAGCAACCAAGACCTTCCAGATCCTTCCAGGCAGGTGACAGTTTCTCTGCAGGCGAAACATCATACAAGACGGGCAGGGGAGGCGCAGGACCCATCACAGCAGGACCCAACTTTTCAGAGACCTTGCTGGGCACCTTGAATTTCATCTCCTCCGGTAAGGCCTCTCTGATGTATCTGGCGACCTCCTGGAGTTTTCTGCGGACAATTGAAGAGTTGATCCATTTGGAGAACGCCAAAAACACAAAGGATGCGTCCAGGTGGTTTCTCATGTGTTATGCCCAAAGTTCATTTAATCTTCTGAATTTGATGCTAATCATTAACGGATTATTATACTTATATATATTACTATCATATACATATATAACCCCAGACTCACTAGCTATGCTTCCTTCCTTGTTTCAATACTAGGTCTTGGGAGCTGGCAGGTTGTCCCCCAAGGATCCCAGGTCGCAGTTCGAGATAAAGTGACTGACCAGGTCATGCGGTCGTCCCAATTGAAGCCCTTTTTGGGCTATGGTTTTCATGCCACCCAAATGGTTGTTCATTACAGATAGATTAGATCAGATGAGATGAGATGAGATGAGATGACAGAGACAGACAGACAGACAGACAGAGAGACAGACAGACAGAGAGACAGACAGAGAGACAGACAGACAGAGAGACAGACAGACAGACAGACACAGACAGACAGACAGCCAGCCAGCCAGCCAGGCAGCCAGCCAGCCAGCCAGGCAGGCAGAGAGATAGATGGATAGATGGATAAATGGATAGATGGATAGATGGATAGATCGATAGATCGATAGATCGATAGATCGATAGATCAATGGGATGGGATGGGATGGGATGGGATGGGATAGATAGATAGATAGATAGATAGCTAGAGTAGAAAGATAGAAAGATAGAAAAATGGATAGATAGAAAGATAAAAAGATGGATAGATAGAAAGATGGATGGGTAGAAAGATAGAAAGATAGATGGATAAATAGATAGACAAATAATATATATATATAATTAATTAATTAATTAATTAATTAATTAATATACAGGTTTGACACAGATTCTTGATGGATTTCTCCGCTTTCTCACCATTTTTTTGGTAAACTCCCATTTACTGTTGCTTCAACCCCACTGTGATAAATCATTTTGAATCCCATGTTTAATGGCAGAATCCATGTTTCATAACCGCATATCATCTCAGTAGCTTTAACCCCGTGTTTGATCACAAAATCACTTTACAATCGCCATCTTGATGTCAAAAATCTGCCATTTTGCCTCCCAGCGGGCCCCCAAGGGGCCCCCCAGGGCCCCAGGGATCCTCAAAGTGCGGAGATCCTCCGATCAGCAGAATGCGCTGCCCGCCCAGGCCCTCCCGACACACGGCTTCCACATGTGCGCGCGCCACGTCGCGCACGTCCACGACCGTCTTGCAGGCGTTCTCGATCTCCTTGAAAGTGATGTTTGTTGGCCAACAAAAACATGTATAAACCGCATGAACTAATATTAACTATAGTTATAGCCTCCATAAGCCCTAGTTCACCAAGTTATGTGCGTCAACGTGATCGCTGTCTACGTGATCGCTGTCTACGGTATTTGGGATCCATGGGGATTGATGGTGATTTTTCATGGGACAAAACCCTAGGTGCCAAGGTCAAGTTACGTGGAATGTGTTGGCTTGGGGATCCCATCTATGTATTTTTGGGATGGGTGGAAACTCGTTGAAACTGTATAAATTGAAACCATCGAATCAATGAAGAAAAAATAGTCTATTCGTGGTCTAAAAATGTGTAACATGGATTTTTCGCAACCGAAAATTCGGGAGAAATCAGGCTGCAAATGCGATCATTCGACTAGCTGGTGAGCCAACCCCGCTGTAGACCATGTGAAAGTCGAACTTGTCACAAAAAACACAATATCTTTTGAAAGAAATTATACCACATGATACCACCAACCAAAGGGTTTGGGTTCAGAAAATTGACTCCATATCATTCTCGGGTATTGGTCAAAACTGGGCTAAATATGTATATATATATATTATTTAGAATTGCAACATGGTTTTAAAAAATGTGTGGTCCCTGTTTTAAATGTTGACTCGGACCTCTGAATTTACTTCCCTTTGGTAGGTTCTGTAAAATCTATTTCCCAAAGCCCAGATTTTCTGGTTTGATCCTGGTTAGTTCCTGATGCGGTAGAAGGCTTCCCCTCCTGGATGCTTCCATCCATATAACCCACCAAAGAACTGGCCGAGGTATTCAGGTGGGGCTGCCCTGGCACCATGGGGCCCCAGATCAAGGTCGGCAGCAGCACGGTCAGTTGGAAGGGACAGTCCGGCTCTCGACTCATCTTCCAAGCCGTCTCCTCGGCTAGAACCTTGGATAAACCTCGGCAAGGTGACCAAGGCATGAGGCATTCAACATGACCACGGATGAGGGTTTGGCTTGGTGAATGGTGAATGCTGGTTTCGTGTTTTTTCAAGTATCTAAACATATTTAGACCAGCAAACATGGGATATGCGCGCAACAGCCATGGATAGTGCACCAACAATGGATGTTGCTATATGGTGTTCAAGTTGGTGAGGCTTATGGGCCAGACATTTGGAGGCGTCGATTCTTTGGGTCGAGGGCTCAACAGAATGGACCTTGGAAGCTTTTTTGGTCGGTGAGTCCTGATGTCTTGTCACCACGAAATGTCGTGGAAGGCAAGTGACATCTGCCTAGTGCATTCCTCTTAGCCAAATAAGCCGAATGAAAATAGGGCCGCCTCACAAAAAATCAGAAACATGAAAAACAGTGTACCATCTTGATAAATGGGGCCGCACCAACAAATAGAAACAAGATGTATCAATAGTATCGACACGCAAATTTTCCAGTATTTCAAAGCCAAGGTGACAATACCAGTTCTGCTTCTCTCTGAAAAGCTCTGAAGGAGACCAATCTGCAGAGCTGTAGACGTGGTCCGCAGGAACTTTGCCATAGTTCACCTGGCCATCCAAAAGATATCTATTGGAACCCAAGCATCACCCAGCTCAAGCATCAATGGATTGCAAAAAGGACATGACACGGAACCCCCTAGGCTACAAGTTTTCAGCCTCAAAAAGCATGGTTTTTGGCCGTGAATTGTCCCTTCAACGATCTCTGGAAAGGTGCGTGATAGAACATCGAAACTAGCTGGCTGGAAAATCCCCGAACTAAATGGAAGTTATAGCCGGAAAAAATATCAAACTAAATGAGACAGTTTCTCCATTACCATGTTTCATTACCAGAGGGTATACGAACGAAACCCTCCAATCGACCCAGTCACATAAACACTGCCGGTCGAACTGGTCAAGGCCACCCTTTTGACGCCCAACTTGTGGCACGAGGACAAGACGTTCCGGGTGCCTAGGAAGCGCACTGTGTTTGTTTGATCCAATCCCCCATTAGGGGAAGGTGATGAATCGTTCCAAATGGTCAAATTGGGTCAATGGGGCATGGTTTATGGCATTGGTTTTAGCACCTTCCAATACACTTCACCCACCAACCCCTTGTACCCAGCCTTCCACTGCAGGCGTGACCAATTTCTCCTGCGCTGAGCTATCAGGTCCAAGGGCAGTTTCCTAGAAAAAAAATGAGTTGCAACCTTGCGCCGAACACCTTAGATTCGTGTTATTTTATACCCGCTGGATCCCTCTGGACATTTAAGGTAACTGTCGAAAACCACCAATTTTTAATAGGTAAATTACACCGGCATAGACTCCACATAAAGGTTTCACTGAAACCAAGGGATCCCAGCTATGAAAAATATTTGAACCCCCAAAAAGCTTGCCAGCTACCGTCAATCAAAATATTCTATAAATGAGTCATTTTTCATAGCTATTTCAAATAATCACACAGTAGTGAATCCTCCCCGACTTGAAGCCAGAGAACTTGTATGGTTTCCCAAATATCTCAAGCATCAAGTCCGGCGAGGTCGCAACTTAATTAACTACTCCCTTCCACCCAACACTTAATTAACTACTCCCTTCCACCCAACACCCCAAATTGCAACCAGGGTTTCTCTAGGACGCTATTCAACATTAGAAGGAAACAGAGTTTAGAATATCACTGTTAATGTGTATTATATATATATGTTGTATATATATATATAACTGTACAAGTACCTTCAAAACTCATCCATCCCCATCCATCCCCACCTCCGATCCACCGGCCATATAAAACGGCGAGGCCGTGTGCAGCACCGCGCCGCAGCCCGCGATGGCCGCATCAAAGGCGCCCGGGGTCAGCAGGTCGACGTCTTCGAAGATTTTCAAACGACTGGAGGCACCTGCAGAACGGGGAAATATGGGGCTTTCCATGGGGGTACCCCCATAGCTGGATGGTTTAGAATGGAAAATACCTATTAAAATTTGGATGATAAATGGGGGTACGCCTATTTTAGGAAACCTCCATGTGTTGGGCCCTTTTAAGCCACCATGTTCATGTCTTTTATGGGGATTTAAGATGGTTTGAGATGGTTTAACTATAGCAAAGTCACAAGTTGGCTTGTCGTTTATGATTACTGTTTTGTGAGAAGGGCACAAAGGAAATTGCATTTGTGGCAAGTTAAATATGATCTCACAGAGCTCCAAGAAGTCTTTTGGGGAGATGAAACCTTGGTGATTGTCTTCAGATGCGGGTTTGACTGAAATAATTACAGTACTTGACTTACCCTATCTCAGGAATAATGAAAATCTCCTCATAGAATTGCATTTGTCCATCCCCACTTTTGGACAAACCCTCATGGTTGTTGCGCAAAAAATTGGATATCAGTAGGCCCCAAATTCGGTCCCTTTCAGGACATAAAATGCCACTCGAGCGAATCATTTTGAGTCCAAGCAGGGATGATGGATGTCCCAGTTGAACAGAAACCCCAGCCATTGCGGAAATACTACCAACCACTATCTTAAGGTGATGTCTGAAGTTAGAATGCGTTCCCATCAGAATAAACACGCCCCAGAATCCCTGTCACATCTGGGTGAAATGTACTAGATCAGTTCGGTTTCGGGTCTCATACAGTGGTTTTGGCAGGGCCATCGATTGGAATAACTGGTTGTATGTACAATCAAGACTGTTAATCTGTTTGGAGGGTTCCAAATGAATTAGCAACGGGTAGGTGACCAAGAAACAGCAAACTTGGTGTAGTATCTCCACAGCAGCACCTCCATTCTGTTGCTGAAAAAATATCAAGAAATTTGTGTTTTTTGGAACCCTCCATTTTGTCATGGATCTTTGACGATGATTTCCAGGTTTGTTTCTCCAAGTTTCACCCCATTGACGCCACCCGAGCCTGGCAAGTCCATCAAGTAAGCCGCTTTCTTGGCCTCGGTACACTCGGTAGGCATGCTGTTGGTGACTGGTGACCCACAAATCCTCCAACTTCAAAAAAAACCGAGAGAAGTCTCGGAAAATGTCCAAGTGGATCCAAGTGGCACTTCGGGTGGTGGTATGAACCCTGTGCCCGTCCTCCAGCAGCAGCTTGATGCACCAAGAGCCCAGGAATCCAGACCCACCGGTGACGCAGATGGGTCCCGTGGCCGGAAAGGCCGCCTTCATGGGGCCCGAGATGAGCCGAAGCAGGCGCTGCATGCAGCAAGGCGAATGGCTGGGGCCAAAAAGCTGCTGGTGGTGGGAAACTTCAGGGCTATACCTGGTAGACCTCCAAAGTTTGGGGCCAAGATCCATCATTTTCGGAGCAACCCGGAGCTGGTGGATAGGTACACCAGCTTTGGGGATCAAGACTCTGAACTAGCCACTGGTTGGACTATCGCTGAGGATGGGACACTCCTTCGTGTTGCACCATCTTCTTGCAACAGTCCACAGGCCCAGTGTACAAGGCCGCCTAAATCCGGAGGTCTAGGTGTGTCCAACTCTACGGGGAGGTTTCCTCGGATCAAATGATGAATTATGTGAATCTGAATTCCAAGTTGGGGAGGATTACTTGGATCTATACGTATCTAGAGGTGTTGGCACAACTGCAGGCTCCAAGAATATGATCCCGCAGTCGGCAGTCGGGAATGGTCAAGATCTTCGGACCAGGGCCATGATCGATGAAGCTTAAGATATCTGGAGTATGGGCACTCCTTGAAGTTGGTATCTGTCCTTACTCCCGGTCTCCCCTGACCGGGAAAAGATTCCAGGTGAGGCTACGAGCTGAAGAATGGTGAGCCTTGCCGTAAATTCTGAGGATCGAGCCCCACTCTCATTTTGAGGCTGGTTCATCAGCCTGCCAGGGTCGTCGTTCATCTTGGTGAAAAAAAAGGACTGGGCATTGAAATCAATCATGTCACATATTGTCAAATGAAATGGTTCCAAATGATTCAAATCAGCATCTAAATGTTTGAGCGCAAGTGGGCTGGTAGTCTCGCTTGGCTAACCCCAAACCTCTGTCCTGTGAAGATTACGAAAGTGCCGAAAATAATCTCCTAAGTCATTTCGGGAGCCAAAAAATAGTCTGGGTGAGTTATAATAACTAACCAATCTGAAAAGTTGTGCCAATTTGGGATCGTAACCCCAATCCTAACCATCATCTTTTACGTGCCATCACGGTGACGGGGAAGTCCCAGCACCAGCACCTGACTGCTACGATGTCGAAGGGCTGCATGGCAATAGTCACAGCAATTCCCGACCTGGGCCAATGGTCATACAAACAACTCGACCATCTCAATATCATCGAACTCCAGCAGACTTGCGCATGGAAAGATACTCATTACAGGATGTATGTAATGGAATGTAGTGTAATGTGTATATATATATAATGTAATGTAACCTGATGTATTGTATTGTAATGCAATGTAATGTAATGCAATACGATAGAATGTAACATAATACAATACAATACAATATAATATGAATCTATACATATATATAGATAAAAAAATATCGATATTAACCTAATTGTATGTATGTATGTATGTATGTATGCATGCATGCAGGCAGGCATGCATGCATGCACGTATGTCTGTATGTGTGTATGTGTGTATGTGTGTATGTGTGTGTGCGTGTATGTAGGTAGGTATGTATGTATGTATGTAGGTAGGTATGTATGTATGTATGTCTGTGTGTGTATGTATGTATGTATGTATGTATGTGTGTGTGTATGTATGTCTGTGTATGTATGTATGTATGTATGTATGTAGAATGTATGTATGTATGTATGCATGTATGCATGTATGCATGTATGCATGTATGCATGTATGCATGTATGCATGTATGCATGTATGCATGTATGCATGTATTCATGTATGCATGTATGCATGTATGCATGTATGCATGTATGCATGTATGCATGTATGCATGTATGCATGTATGCATGTATGCATGTATGCATGTATGTATATACATATATTGCTATGTTAAGTATAAATATCAATACCGGTCAAATAGAATGTCATAACATACAATATTATATTATGTTATATTATATTATATTATATTATATGATATAATATAATATAATAATATAGATGATGTAATATAATATAAGATAACATAATATAATATAAGATAACATAATATAATATAATATAATCTTAGATTATATTATGTTATATAAGATTATATTATATTATATTATAATATATTGTAATATTATACTATACTATATTATATTATGTTACATTATATTGTATGGTATTATATTATATCATATTATATATTTTATATTATATATTATATATTTTATACTATATATTATATGTTGTATATTATATATTATATATTATATATTATATATTTTATCTTATATGTTATATATTATATATTATATATTATATATTATATATATATATTGTATATTATATATTATATATTATATATAATAATATAATCACATATTATATAATTTATATTATAATATATTATATAATTTATATAATATATTATTATACAATAATATATTATATAATCATATATTATATAATAATATATTATATAATAGTATATTATATAATAGTATATTATTACAATACAATATGATATAATACAATACAATATAGTATAATACAATGTAATATAGTATAGTACGATAAAAGATAATGTCATGTAAAGTATTGTAATTAATGCAATGTAGTGCAATGTAATGTAATAGAATGCCATGTAATGTAATATAATGTGATATCCAGTGTAATATCCAATGTAACCTAATGTAACGTCATGGAATGTCATGCAATGTCATGTAATGTCGTGTAATGTCATGTAACGTGACGCGGAGCTCTTCACATCCCCAGAGTTCCGACAAAACCTGAATTGCTCCTGCAAGTCACTGGATTTTGACATTGTGTCCCCACCAAATGAAGATTTGCACCCTTCACTGCTGTTCCAAGGTCTGCGTGTTGCCTCTTAAAACGTTCCATTTTGGGCCAGCAAGTCATCAGCGAATCAGGTGTTTATCAAGACTCTTGCTGAGACATCAGACAGCAGGCTCGCAGCCAGGTGGATCGGAATCCCCTCTTTCATCTGGCAGGAGGGTGGCTCTTTCATGAATGGATTGAGCGGGATATAATGTACATATATGCTACATCCATATATGTTCATACTATGTTATATTGGAACATACATTATGTATTGTTACAGTATGGTATAGGTGTGTATGCATATATATATATATATATACATGTATACATATATATATATACATATTACAATATGTATGGAGAGTGCAAATATATATATATACTATACTATATATTATAATACACTATATATATATTGTATATTGTATATATTGGTGTGCATATTGTATATATGGTATATACCTGTCTTTTTCCAGTGACTATTGAATGAAATGGATCTGCCAAGCACTGGACGGTTTGGCTCCGGCCTGGGTCGACTGTAGGAAGATGTCTTTGCTCATGTCATAGGTCGACAGCTGCATCTGGCAGCAGAGCTTCGACAGTCCCGGGACTGTAGTGATGACTCCGGACAATTCAGGCAAAAACTCCCCAAAAAATGATGGGTTCTCAACATCTTCCCCATGAAAATTCGACAATTTTGAAGTATTGCTGTTTTGAGAGGAACCGAAAATTTCAAATCATGGTAAGTGTGACTCCTAGCAACAGTGGCAAGGAAGTGTCTTCAAGGCCGTGTCAGTCGGTCTCCATTTTCTGTCTTGAATGTGTATGATTTAGTTCTTAGCCATGGGCAACAGCCCTCCTGAAGTATATAGTTGGTGGGGCGATTAGGTTCGACTTCGAACCCAAAAGCCACCACCCAGCACATAATCGACTGATCACAATCATTCTTGAATGATTGCGAATACTCTAGTGTCAACATTCAAATCAAGAATCATGTCTCAAAAATCCCAGTTCTTAGCTCAAAAGTAATAAAGTCAACTTCCACACATCTCTCAACAATCCCGTTTGGAATGGACAGCTGCCACTGAGCATCCCCGCAGCTGTGGCCGCTGACACCCTGGGAATGAAGGCTGAGAGACCATGGTAGTAGCCGCTGACGCCCTGCTACGCTGCGAAAGCTCGGGGCATCGAAACTGAGAAAGTTCACCATGGATCAAAGTTGGTCAAGTTTATGGAGGCTGTATCCTTAACCAAATATAGATAATATGAATATAATCTAATTGAATATAAAGAACCTGCAAAATATGGGATGAAACAGTTAAACAGTCTGGACTTATGACCTATGGATCAAACGCGAGGTACCAGCGTAGCCATAAAATGTGTCATGTTTTGCAGCAAAGCATCCATTGAAAGTGGCGATAATCTTGACCGATACCCTGAGCACTTGCAGTTGCTGTAAAGGTCCCATAGCCTCAAACGGTGAACGTCTCTTTGAGCGATCCATTTCACCAATTCTTGGGCTGTTCACAAGGGTAGGGGGAATGACCACCCTATTGCTCCAGCTCCCGCACCAAATCATCTTGCCTGCTTGCGACCAATGTCCAAGAACGCCGTCCTAGCAGGGGCCAATCTAGGAATACTGAGCCAACCTTAAAAGATGTTTCGTCCCTTTGATGTTCCAAGTTTCCCCCAAAATAGAGTGCTGGAAAACAGACTTCCACTGGAATTGACGTCCCTCTCCCACCCAAGTTGGGAGAAATGCAGAGCTCTTGGCTAACCATCATCTCCCAACGTCATTGTATCAAACAGCCTTTGATTCCGGGCACCTTACTTTGGCTCATAGCATCAATATCTATGACTTGTCCAGCCAGGACGTATCCCATGTATCCGCACCTCAAGGAGGGATGCAGGTGCTGGTGCAAGACATCTTCACTTCCTACGGCTTGGAAGCGCGACTTCAGAAGGAAGAATGGATTGGAGACCACTGCAGCAATGGATCCAGATACCGCACCCAGCAGCACGGACAAAAGCCATTGGCTGGTGGAATGCCCACCTGGAGAAGGGGACAGTTTTTCAGCTTGAGACCCTCACCGTGCTCACCTCAATCCCATGTGAAATGACATGTTCCAGGCATCGCCACAACCAAACAGCTCTCCGCCTTGTTTCATGCCAAAGAATTGCTTCAGGGATCCATAGGTGCCAAATCTGCAGCCGACATTGCTGAACTGCAGCAGATAGGCCGCAAACAAACCGCGCTGCAAACCCCTGAGCCCTTCTTGTCGAAGTATGCGCAGCAGAGCCTGGGAGATGCCTCACCAGGGAGATTTCCCTGGAATTTAGACCTAAAAAATAACCTTACTGTATATGGCCTTATATATGGTGGGCACCTCAAATTTAGGTCCCTGAAGTGCCCATTCGAATGATGATCAGCATGATTAACTATGATTCATTATGATGTACAACACAAATGCAGATACTTTACTCTGAACACCCAATCTTTGGGTCCCTTAGTCCCTTGAGCACTTGAAAGGCCTCTGCCCAGCATCCCCGACCTGTGTAGGCTGCGCCAGAGGCTCTCAACTCACCTTGCAGTTGCAGCCGAGTTTTCACCACATCCACCGGGTTCGTCAAGGTGATCGCGCCACAGGCAGAGGCTCCAGCCAGCAGAAATTCCGACGCCTGGCTCCGAACCATGGCATAGGCAAAAATTTCGAAGCAGCAACTGCTGGATTTGGCTGGATTTGTTCTTCTGGGTTTTTTGAAGACTCCTGATTTTTTTGTGCAGATGTTGTGATTTCGCGATGCGCTCAGTTGGTTGATTTGCTGGAACCTTACTGCAAAAAGGAAATGGGGAATCAGATCGAATCCTGAATTCAGATCAATTTCTTTGGTTTTAATGGCTCAGCAGAATCCGGTCAGATTGGCCCAAAAGTGTTCGTTGACACCCCACTTGTATGGCTACAGTATATCATATCCGATGGGTTTTCCCCTGGATCATCACGCCGAATCAGTGGCGCCCAAGCTTGAGCAGAGAGGAAAGTGACCACAGGCTGCTGGGGAGGGCAAGAGGAGATGGGTAACATTTTTTTATCTAGTGGTTTATTCATTAACATGTCTACTTATCTCTGGATGTACTTGTTTATCATGGATTATTTAATTTATCTAATCTATTCATGTATTCATTGTATGTGTATATATATATTATGTATATGTGGTACAGCATTAGTATTGCGCATGGTTCCATTGCATATGTAGCGCCACAGGTGTCACAGGATTTCGTTCGAAAATCATGGCACTTTGGAGCAAACTCTCGCCCAGTTTGGCAAGGCGAGAACAAAGACCTGTCCGGTCCAATAGATGCGGTTGCTGGTTCCAATCAACTTTATGCGGCTACGAGCTGATCTGAATTGAAATGATGTGCAAATCTGCCAGTCCAGAGGAATCATCTAGGCACGCAATCTCATCGTCGAAACCAACAATTCAGAATTAGACGCCTCTTGAAAAGCAAGGCCTTAAAAGCACAGCAGGAGAAGCATCATTGAAATCGAATGAACTATCTCCACTGGCGAGGCGGATGCAAAGAAACCACGCAGCAAATCTCTGATTTGGGACATCGATTTCTACGGTGAATTTCACAGCAGCAAATTAAGATGGCCTGCAAACTGCAGAACAATCCTGCAACAAATCAACCAGATTGCTCAGATAACCCTTACCATCCCTTACCTTTTTCTTGCTGAAACAGATATGTAGATTGTCAATGATTGTCATGTGTTGCTGACCTTTTTTTGAACCATCAAATGGGTTCTTTCCACTAGGCGCATGGGCTGATGGGCTGTGTAGGACACCCTTGTCTGAAAATGGGGGAGATCAAAAAAATGCGCAAAAAACTTGGGAAAATGATGATTACCCTCTGGTGAACATACAAAAAACTATGGAAAGATCCACCCATTTTTAATAGGAAAATCCACTATTTCGACTGGGCCATTTTCAATAGCTTTTTGTATGTTCACCAGAGGGTAACCAGTGTATTTGGGTGGTACCCTGTTTTCAAACAAACCCGTATGTGTGGTTTGGTTGGTCCCCAAAACTGTGCTGGTTTCGTTCGTGATACTAGACTCGCTGGGGGTAGTATTTGGGGTATCCTGCCTTTCAAGAAGCACCACATGGCACTCAGAAATTCCGCCCCATACACCAGGAAAAATTCATTCCGCGATCCGTCGGAATGGCGACTGAAAGAGAAACCACTTGGGCATTACAACTTCTTTGCCCCTCGCAACCCTGCAATACGTGCCCACTTTAATGGGCCGGCATCAATGGACCCCAGTCGTCCACTGAAGTTCCAGGGATGCGAGTGGGTCTATTGAATCAGGGTTGAGGAGTCCAACTGATGTTCATACCTTTCCTGATCTCAACAACATCGTTTCAGTTTCAATAGATCGGAGCAGCTCTGCACATGTCTCTTGGCCACCAAAAACTGCCGGTGGCTGGAAACCAATGAGACTCTCCGCTGGATTCTAAAACGATCCTAACACTGCCGGCTGGTGGTGCCATAATCCATTTTTTAACGCTCGGATGAACATGCAACAAAAGTCAAACCATGTCAAACCATTAAAAGTCATTAAAATACGGCCAAACCATGCCAAACCACCAACCAGACTCTCAAACAGTTCCAAAAGCATCATAGATGACACTGCAACCCGACACGGCCTGGCCCCCTGACCCTTCGCTAGACTGTTGTTTCCGTCGAGTCCTTGACGCATGAGTTCCTCTCAAAAAAACAAGACAAACCCCATTTCCAGTTGGTTCAAGCAGTCTTGGTTTTGGCTAGATTTTTTGACCATTGATATGTTCTAATTGTTCCAATTCAGCGAGTTGCAAATAATTTCGATGTTTGTTCATGTTGCTCAACAAATGCAAAACTCGACATTATGGATTTCAAGCAGAAATACTCGATGGCTCAACATTCAATCAGAATGTGGGTTTGATAAATACAAAAATAACCAGCCATTTGTGGTCCAACAATGTTCATTGGTATCCCCGTTGCCGCTTCGCCACACCCTTTCGAAAAAATGGTTTGGCAATAGTCGATAAGGTACTGTTTAAGACTAACCCAAATGGCGAAACAGAAATTCTAGTGCCCTAGCCTAGCAATCATCCCTGGAAAACAACCCAGTAGAACCGATCTACATAGATAAGAAACTGGTTCTTTTTTCTGATTCGAATTTAGTTGTACAAGTAAACCCCGCACGAGGTGGGTGGCGGAAGTTTCCAGCAGGAAGGAATGTTGCACTATAGGATTGAAAGACAAGTTTTGCCTACAGGAGGTGGAGTGAAGCCTCACATCTTCTCTGTTCTGAGTGGCACCTGCCAACTGGACACAATGATCGGACTGGGGGACTGGGAATGTTCACTGTCCGTTGCTGGAAAATAGCCCATCCATCCCCTCCAGGAGATTGAGGCCTCCCATTTCTTGGGCCCGACCAATGCTTCGGGCTTAGATTTCTATTCGAAAATGACCCAGAAAGTTGGAATGCCTGGACTATTTGAAGATTATCCAAATAGAAATGAAAGGAAATGCGTGACATGATCATATGATCCATGCTTCTTTGTTGCTCAAAATGCCTGGAAATCCGCCCCGGCGGGTTTTAGGTTCGGGTTCTTCGGGTCATGTCTTGGGCAGGTCCGTGCGGAGAGTCGACGCCAGGCTATCGTTGTTGTCCGCGGGCCTGATCTGGGGCTGCTGGAGGTGCCATCATCTACCATCAGACACCGTGATTTCAACATCAAACAGACTGGTTTCATTGAAGCTACCCTGGTAATCTAACAGTTTGCTATGCAAAATCACCCTTTTCCATCAGGGATTTGTCATCAGGGCTGTTTTAACCATGGCTTTTCCAAAAAGAACTTCCAGGGGGGTACCATCGGTACCATACCTGAAATCCCCAAATCCCATAAAAATGGTCAGAGTCCCAATATTTGTTGGTCAATTTTTCATTTCGTGAAAAAGGTCAAAACCATGGTACCCGGCTGGTACCCCAAAATAGCTGGTGTATTGCTGGATGTTGATTCCCCCAGGTAAATTATGTAAATTCATAGGCAACTTGACCCCTCACCATTTCTGTTTGTCACCGTTGGATACCCACCCGGCTCGCGCCTTTCCTCCAGCTCTTCCAGCTCTTCCAGCTCTTCAACTTCGGAATCGGATTGCAGGTCGGGGTGCCAGCGCCTCAAAATTTTCGAGACGTGGCGACGTGGCTTCAGGAACTGCTGCCCATGGCTAGAGATCAGTTGTAAATGGGCTTCGCCAAGGCGAAGGACACCCAGCATAATGCTTTGGTTCCCAGGTGTGAGGAAAACCTTAATGGGATTGCCCTTGTTGCACTTCAACAGGGTACACCCAAGTACGCATAATTACAATGATTGACTTTATTGCCCATCATCCATCATCCATGATCATCCTGCCTTTTGCAGAGGATTCAGGTTTCCATCCTCTATTATAGTCTATATAGTCTACATAACTTAGTATAACAATATGTTTCTCATTCTTCTCATCATTTCTCATCCATCAAAGCATCCCCATGTCCCAGGTTTTCTCACGGAGCATCTACCGCGATGCCGAAGGCGCAGGCAGGGCATGGACTTCGAGGTCAACTTCTGACTCGTGAGGCGCGCGAATTCCGTGGAGACCGCAGAGATTGGGGGCATCAAATGGGCCCCGCCTCCGGATGACTCAGCAAATCGGACGTGTCAAGCATTTGCTAAGTTGGATGACCATAGCATTGGACATCTGAGATTGAAATTGAAGGGAAACGTTTTGGGGATGACCTGTTTGAAATTGGGTAGCAACATTAGCAACGGATATCCACCGCTGGCCAGGTTGGAGGGGTCAACTATCCAAGTGGACATCCTGTTGGTGGGGCACGGTTCTCTTAGATGTTGCCTGTCAGGTCATCAGAGTCTGGGAAAACATCAAAATTGCAAAGCACCATTTTTCATAGGGAAATCGTCTACAAAACCCACTTAAATCCATTGATGTATACAGTATACATATGTATTGATGTGTGTATATATATATAATAATTATATATATATAATATATATATATATAATGTGTATATTATCCATTTCCACTGCCACATCACATCAAATCCCCATGTTTCTCCCAGTCGCCCCATCTCCACCTGCCAAGTCCAAGGCAGCCGCTCCGCTGCAACGGCTCCTTGGTTGAGACGCGACGCACCGAGGATTCCCCACAGACGCGACGCGACCGCGATTCCAGGGTGCTGAGCTTCGGACTGGTCGCGGAGGACTTTGTAAAGACCTGCAACCTGAGAAAACAGGTCTGGAAAACATGGCCCTCATGTGTGACAAAAATTACTGGAAACAACATGAAACAACCAAAATGATTCAAGTCCGCAAACACCCAACAATTCAGAAGTCATCCTCCACCCGCGAAAGTTCCCATATGGGCAAAAATTCCATAGGATTTACCCTCTGGTAACTAACATAGCTATGGAAAATCCACCCATTTTTAATGGAAAAGATCCACTATTTCTATGGCCATTTTCAATAGCTTTTTGTATGTTTACCAGAGGGTATCATCATGCTCACCCATGTTTTAATGGCCACACAGGGGGTCTTCCCCGTGTTGAGACCAAACCCATACCAGATCTGGAGGCCAGGAGACGCCGATCAGAGCCGCACAACCACAGAGACCAACG